GCCGGGGATCGAACCCACAACCTTCCGATTAGTGGACGACCACAGACTGCCCTCCCTATGAACAATTTAAACTGAGAGTAAATTCATTACTGGAAAATGTTATCCTAAATATTTATCAGGGTAGCCAATACTGACATGTTAATGTGTTTTTAAGAGACACAGCAATGTTCTGTGGCTATGTGGGTCACATCCATGATGACAGATGTCTCATTCACAGAACACTAATAACCACCAGCATTAATACTAAAAATCAATACTGCTGCTTATCGTTTATTGATGGAAATAGAGTGGATGGGTATTAACCTGTAAACCATCAGCTTTAGCTCTCATTAGCAACAATCCTTGTCAGATAATAGCCCTACTGACCCCTGAAATATATGTTATCCATCTTGTAGAACTTACACGTTTAATTTACAGTAAACCTAAAACTAATGTCCAGCTAAATAAATAACGTATTTTCTCACAACAAATAAATCACGTTTGACCTGAAAGGCTCGTCTGATTTCAAATTCATTACTAATTTCAACATGACATACAAAGGAATTTATCTTAACTCATTTAAATCAGATCATACGGTCCAGTGCGGTTGAGTTCCAAAAGAAAACAAAAAGAAATCAAGCAGTTTTTCTTGTGTTGTTTTTGAGTAGCAGAGCTCTCCTACCTGTCTCCATCTCTGTGCTGATCTCTCTCTCACTGCGGGCTCCACTCATGGAGTAAGACAAGTCACTCAGTACGCTGACACCAGCTGCCATGGCAGGGGCTGAAAGGTGGGAATAAACATTGCGTGTCAAAGGCAGATGAAAAAAAATAGGGGGGGGAAGAAACAGCTTACAAGCAGAAGCTTTGGTTGTGCTGACAAACAGTCACAAGGTGCACGCACAGATGAGATATGAGGAGCGTGAGTGGCGTTGCCTGGCAAAGATAACCCAGGGGAGAGAGGGAAATGTGCAAACTGAGCCACCATGTCAGCAGCTCATGTGTCACTCTGACCACTGCACCTCTGGGAGCAGGTGGGCGTGGCCCAACAGTGGGAGCACAAACCCGAGATCCAAGGTGCTGTGTTACAAAGCGCACTGACTTGTAGAGGCTTCAAGATGAGCACGCAGTGACATGGCATCATCACCCTCAGCCACAACTGCATTTCAATATGTGTGTATGTGAGCTGCAACCAGGTAGAATACATTAAACTGCATATGAGAGATTAGGCAAATCCTTCCTCTGTTACTGGGCTGATGCCACACTTATCAATTATTCACCTGCTATTGTGCAGCTGCAGGGAAATACTTCTTGACTTGCACATCAGATTTATGAAGCCTGATATCAGAGCTGTGTCACACAGATCTCCCAGAGTTCCAGTTGAACCCCGGGGACCAGCTGTTCCTCACTTTACACACAAAGCTGTAATGAGCCTCATCACTTGTGCAAACTGGTGTTGCAGGAGTGAAACTCTGCACCTTTACAGCTCTCTGCCTCTGCCACTGTGGTCCATTAACAATTGAGCAGGGTCGCTGTAGTTCGCATGCTTTTTGATGGGCAATCGATTCCTTGACCTTTGCTTTTTCCTTCCTATTTGATACACTGCCTTAGGATGGCTTAATCAAAGAGCAACCAGTCTATACCCATTTACTGCAAAATTGCTTTGTACACAGATAAACTGGAAACGTGATTATTTTGACTGATATTGCACAGTAAGAGTCATCATTAGTGGGAATGATCGTTCACACATCACCAGTATTTAAATCATGATGACATGTTTGATGATATTTGGATTAATTGAGACATTTTGACATGTCATGGTTGGAAAAGCACAGGTACTAATAACATTCAGGAAGGCTCTGTTGTATTCTGAAGCAGTCACTTTATTTAAACATTTCTCAAACAATTCTTCTGACTGATTCTGAACTTGAACATTTTGTCAATTTATACTACACGTTGAATGTGAGTACTTCAAAATCACTGCCACTGTTAACCAACTGTATTTTACATTTAGCAAACATTTAGGCGTACTCAAAATGACACAATTATTTTGAAAATGAATCGGCACGTTAAAGCGCCATTGTATTTATTATATTACTCTGTTAGAGGTCAACCTCTATATCATACTATAATTACATTAAAGACACATACTGAAGTCCTTTTCTGTACTGAAGTTTTATTATTTAAGGGAAAATATTTAAAAACATACTTTGTAGACCATCAAATTATATCTGCTAATCATTATTTCTCTATAAAAAGGTGACAGTGTTATTAAAAAGCCCCTTCAGAGACAGGTCACATTCAGGTCACATTGCCAGTCCTCTTGAGAGAACACTTCTGTAGTCTATGAATAATTGATGGTGTAAAGTTAGAGCCTGTCTTTTTCCATCCACACCTGTTTTTGGACTTCTTCTACACAGTAACCCACACTTGTTACAAACTAATATGGCACCAAATCCTGGTATGACACCGGTCGAAGCGTCTCAACAGCCGGAAAAAAGCCTATCCAATGAGTCCAGCAGTCTGCCCCGCCGGAGCCCGACACCGCTTGGCACTGTTTATAGGAAGCTCTTGATAACGAGCTGGTGTTCTTCGTGACAAATGTGACGTGTGTGAATCAAATATTAACAATTACATGAAATCGAGCTAACACAGCCACCGCAAATAAATCTCTTCACTCAACCGCTACTCAAGAACAAAGGAACCACAGAGCTTCACACATTTGTGGTGGATCCATAAGCTTGCGTCCCCTGGGAAGCCAACGTGTCTGTGGACGTGAGAGAGATGGTGTGAAGGCTGAGAGATGTCAGAGAGACGCTGCTAATGAGTGTGGGATGTGAGAGTCACTTCCACTGAGTGTGCTAATAAAGAAATATGGCAGACGACACTGTAATAAAATGGGGATTGGGGAGTGAAAGATGTTACTGAGTTATGTAAATCACAATACAAAGATAACTGTAATCCATTACATCCATTTTCCATTTCCATTCTCTTTTTTTGTGTCACAGAATACACTTCATTTAATACATTAATACTAATTACTGATATTTCTTTATTTGCATATTTGGTGTTGAGCTAATGCAAAATTAATGTCAAGTAATTAAGTTATCTTACTTGAACACTGTGATACTTAGGATTAGGTTACTGGCTACATTTGTGACTGGTAATGAGTAATTGTATCAGATTACAAGTGCTGGGCTTGTCACTAAATTTGTTTTATTTATTACTCCTTTCAAAAGTAATGTTATTACTTTACTGACTATTCCATGCCATGAGTTAGTTACACTACTATATTACTATTCTGCTAGTACTATACCTTTCTCCCCAAAATTCATACTTACAACAATTTAAATCCAGTTTTGTTTGATAAAATCAAAGTAATGGAATATTAGCGTTTTCATCTACCAAACTAGTTTCCTCCACAATTATAAAAATTCTAAAAATCTAAGGATGTGATTGGATTGTTGGATTAACTGAAAAATTATTACTGAAATATATTAGTTATTAGTTACTTGTTACTGAGGGAAGTAATATTATTACTGTAATATATTGCTAGTAATGCTTTATTTCCACACTGATCACAATACACTAACACAACACAATGCAATTCTACTGTAAATAAAACAATAATAATTGACACAATATAGATAAGACAAACACAAAAAAGACTGCCTCCATCTGAATATATCATAACAGATATTCCATAAATATAATTTCACATAGATGGAACCACACCAAAGAGTACTTATTAATTAC